TAGCCTCCAGCTGCTCAATCACCGCAGATGAGATTGTTAGCATTGTCAGACCGGTACGTCAAACAATGCTTTGGGATCATTCCACACTAACCCAGAAAAGGTACTAGAAGGCATCCAATATCTACGCGAGCTCGGAAGAGCACTCGCTACCCTGGGCCCGGATACGATCCTGCTTACACAGTCTGGTGATGTTAAGATTAGTGAGATACCCCCTGGCCTAGTGAATATCGTTCGATAAGAGACTGACGCTCACTAGGGGGCGCTGAGAGTAGCTGTCAAATCAGTCAATCGGAAATGAATTCCGCCACGATGAAATTATGCGCTCTAGCCGATATCGTCACCAAGTTGATGTTAAAGAATCGGACCTACGAGTGGGAACAGGAGATCCAAAATTTACCTCGGCAGCTGGAAAGTGTCTCTATCGAGGAACTATTGCAGGTAGGTTCATCCCGATGCACATCATGCCCTCAGCTAATGTGACAGAATGAGATGTTCACCCGAACGTCCAGCGAAGGGGAGTTGAAGTTGTTGGTCAGCATAGCGAACAAGACTGCATATCACGGTATCAAAACTTACTATGGTCGTTGTTGAGCTATAACGCACTGAATCGGGGCTGGCTCTTTGCGTAGAGGCATCACATGTCGAGAAATGGTCGCAATTCTGTGTTTCCTGCTGGCTGGTTGATCAAAGATACGAAAGAAAAAGGTAGCACACGGTATAGCAGGAGATGGCCTGTTCCGGCATACTGACTTTTGGAATTGTGTCACAGATTCCCACTCAATAATTGTTGTTTTTGTTTTCTCTTCCTCATCAGGTATTTAGTCTCTGTTCCTAATCGCTGTCATGCTTCGTTCACTAGAATCAGATTTGATGTAGCACGTGCAGTCTATTCCCTTGATTTGATTTTGAACACAATTGACCCGCTATAATCTGTTTACTGCATGGCGGCAAAAGCCCACCGCTCACCCAGCTCATTTACAAGGCTAAGTGCCATGATAAACACAGCAGCTAGGATGTGGCCCAGTAGCGATACCAGTGGTATCGTATCTACATATGGCGTCCTGGTCATTGACTCGAGTGTGGCCATTTGTACAATTCCCACTGCATACCGGTTTGTCCTTTTACGGTCAATTTCTGCTGTCGCCGGTAACTTGAACAATACTTTCGGGACAAGAAGGCGAATGTCTACATGTTCTCTGGCAGCGCTACCATCTACCCTGGAGAGTAACTCAGAAGAGAATGCAAGCAACTCTATGGGCGTGTTCTCGGTCAAATTTGATGGTGACTCACTCGCCAGTGAAGGGCGCGCATTTCATGTAGATCTCACAATTACCAACACGGTTAAACCAAGCGCAGAGCGAGGCGCAATTCCGGGCTGAAATTCGGACAGCTAAAGGCCGATGGAGTGGATTACTCCTTTTCTTAGCGCCAATGTGCAGTTGAAATCGAAGGTTACTTGAACCGTTGAGACCCCTCAGGATTTTTGTCATCACAAAAGTACCGGCCAGCTTAATTCCGTTGTCCTCCTGCTCAAAATAGTGCTGCAGAAGTTCACGATGCGTAATTTGCCTCGGGCCTGTTTGATTGCATTGTTTAAATGAGCGAAGTGGTGAACCGATAAAAACCTTGAAGTTGACTGAAACGAAGTGGAAGACCTCGATCAACTTGGTTGCGATGATTCACCGTTCCTTGCATGGTGTGGCATGAGATCAACGACGAAGCGGATAGAAATGGCTTTCTGTGACAAGAACAAAGCTACTAATCTACTGTTCTTGCCCTACGTTCCCTTAAGAATGCAGGGC